GTATGGGAAGCCAGTGACCGCTTGACCAAACTTGGATCTTTTCTAGGTCCTGCTTTACCTTCCCTTAAATTCAGTTTTAGCAAAGACACGCTAAGTGAGTTTTGTGTGGACCCTCATATCCAATCAGGAGCTTCACCCTCCGCCACCCCCGGCACTGTCCACCACCCCAGCCTGCCTTCCAGCAAGACTCCAGGTAAAGGGCCATTGAGGTGGCTCAGGAGGTAAGGGCACTCGCTGCTAAGCCCGGAGAGCTGAGTTCGATTCCTGAGTCTCATATAGTGAAAGGAGAGAACAGAACTCCTACAAGCTGTCCTCTGACATTTCATACGTGTGCCACAGTATATGTGATATACCTGCACACTCACTCATGTGCACACACAAATAAATAAATATAAGAAAATTAATTAAGCTGGGTGGTGGTGGTGCACGCCTTTAGTCCCTGCATTCAGGAGACAGAGGCGGGCCAGCCTGGTCCACAGATTGAGTTTCCAGACAGCCACAGCTACCCAGAAAAACCCTGTCTCGAGAAACCAAACCAAACCAACCAAACAACAGCAAAAAACAAACAAAACAAAACCACACCAAAAAAAGAAAGAAAGAAAGGAAGAAAAGAAAATTAAGAATTCTTCTAACCAAAAAGAAAAGAAAATTAAAAATCCTTCTAGGTGGTTTAGCTGAAATTGCCTTCATCAGCTTGACACTTCTTTCTTTCCTTTCTTCATTCCAGCCCAGCCTTTCACTTCCCAGGTAGCCCAGGATGAGCTTGTATTTCTGATCCTCCTGCATCCACTGCCTGAGTGCTGGATTGATTTCAGACATTCTACCATGTCCCTGTTCGCTTCTTTTTTTTTTTTAAAGTGCTGTATTTTATTTAAAAATTTAGGTATATGAGTGTTTTGCCAGGGTGTATGTAAGTGTTCATTCCATATTAAAAGAGGGTATTATTGTCTCTTCTAAAATTGGAACTACAGACACTTGTGGACCACCATATGGGTATTGGGACCGGAACCCTGGTCCTCTGCAAGAGCAAGAGCTCTTACTCTTTGAGCTACCCCCGCCAGCCCATGCCCCTCTTTTTTTTTTTTTTTTTTTTTTTTTTTTGAAACAGGTTCTCATGTAGTCCAGGCTAGCCTAGCCAGGATCTCAATTCTGTAGCAGAAGATGACTTTGATCCCCCATCCCCATCAGACAGGTTCTCCCTTTGCAGTTCTGTCTGGCTTAGAACTCACAGAGCTCTTGCTGCCCCGGCCTCCTGAGTGCGTGAATGAAAGGTGTGCATCACCAGACCTCAGGACTTTGACATTTTAATCCTCCTGCCTCTACCTGAGATTACAGATATATGCTACTATACCCAGTTTTATGTGATTCTGGGGATGGAACCCAGGACTTCACACATGTTAGGCGAGCCCTACATCAGCTGAGCTGTATCCCTCACCCTCTCACCCTGGAGTTTCTTCTGAGACTTCCATCACTCAGTCCTGCTCCTGCTCCTTGACCCATTTGCCAGAGCAGTCGAGCCTATCCTCCTCCCCCACTGCTATGATCCTGTGTGTGTCCACTTGACAACGTGTTCCTCACAGATAGCATGATGATCTGATGCCTTTTTCTGACCTCCTCAGGCACCAGGAACACATGAACCATAAACTGGCCCTGATGGCATATATGGGTATAAATTAGAGTGTCAAGAATTCATATCAAGTTAGAGGATAGCTTTGGCTATATGAGACCTCCATCTCAAAAATAAACAATACAGTCAGATGTGGTGGCTCAAGACTTTAATCCCAGCACTTGGGAGGCTGAGGCAGGCAGATCTCTGTGAGTTCTAGACCAGACTGGTCTTCATAGTGAGTTCTGTGTCAGCTAGTGCTACATAGTGAGACCCCAATTAAAAAACAAAACAAAAATTGAGCTGCAGAGATAGCTCAGCAGTTAAGTGCACTGGCTGCTCTTATAGAAGACCCTGGTTCAATTCTCAGAACCCACATGACAGCTCACAACTGTTTGTGGCTCCAGTTCCAGGAGATCTGAGACCCTCATGCCAATGTACAAAAAATAACAAATTATTTTTAACAATTGGTCGGGTAGTGGTGGTGCACACTTTTAATCCTGGCATTCAGGAGGCAGAGGCAGGCAGATCTCTGAGTTTAAGGCCAGCTTGGTCTACATAGAGAGTTCCAGGACAGTCAGGGCTACACAGAGAAACCCTGTCCCGAAAAATCAACAGAACAAAATAAACAGTAGAAATGACTGTAAAGTCAAGAGAAGAAGGATACAGTAAGAACTACCTGAACCAATGAGATAAGCAGTCCAGTCTCATGATGAGCTTGGGTGTCCCCCAGGCAGCCTTAAAAGTCAGTTGGGTGGAAGTGGGGCCCTGAGTGGGGCACCCTATCTTGTGACTTGCTGGGTAGATGGTGACTAGGAGCCAAGTTTATTGAATGAGTACTTTTCGATGACAGAAGTAGGCTTGGGAGGGAGTCTGTTTCTGGAGGTACTCCAGGGAGACAAGGATTAGAGACAGCAGTAGACTGAACCTGATTTATGCACTGAGTTAACCTAGAGGCTTTGAATTTAGGAAATTGATTAAACCGATTAAGGACACAGGAACCCTGGGGACCCAGGGAGATAGTTTCATTGGTAAGGTGCTAGTTTTGCAAATATGAAGACCTGAGTTCGATTCCTAGCACTCACATGAAAAGAAGCCAGGCATGGTGATGTAAGCTTGTAATTCTGGTAGCAGGGAAGTGGAAACACAAGGATACCTGGGCCATGTAGGTCAGCCAGGCTGAGCTCTGGGTGAATGAGACACGATCTTTCAAACAAACAAACAAACAACAAACCAAAGAGGCTGGCACCTGAGGAACCACACTCAAGCCTTCCTCTGGTCTCCACAGGCACACATATGTGCTTTTCCACATACACATACATGTACATCCACTCCCCAATGGACACACACACACACACACACACACACACACACACACACACGTGTTTGTGGCCTCCTGCTATTGTGTGTTTGAATAGAAACGTTGGTGTGCTTCATATGAACCCCATTAGATAGTTATTGACCAAGACTGGCTACACCCCCAAACCATAAGAGCTGATTCCAAACCTAGGGAGGGTCAGTCCCTCCCAGTCTCCTGGCAACCGACAACAGAGGCAGGGATTGATTTCCTGTTTTCGTGCCCTGATCCTGTCGTATTTTCTCTCTCGGTACCAGGAGGAACAGAGAAGAGGGCAAGCTGAGCCTCAGTCCAGTTTCCTGGACTCCCTCCGGTAGGGAAGTGTCCCCTAAATCTCCGTTCCCTCGCCCTCTGTCGCCCTCTAGTGCCCCCACGCTGCCAACACCCTTGTTTTTGTTCCTTTGGCTTTCATTCTTTCATCCACAAACCCTTCAGAGGCGGCTACACCAGTGTGGGGGTCGGGATGCAGGGAATAGACGCTGAGCCTGCCTCGGACTCTCAGGGCTTCGGAGAGGGATAGATATGTCTACGAGCGTCCTTCTGCGACGAGAGTCTGGAGCCCCAAGCAGGTGCCCAGAGGAATGCAGAGGAGGTGGCAGCAGGTACATCCGGGCATCTGCACAGCTCCACGGAGTAGGACGTGGCCAAGCGGATGGGGAGGGCCTGCGCAATGAACTCACTCGAGCTGTGAAGATGGAGAGGCCTGGGAGGCGTCTTTGACAGCTATGGACTGAGGTAGTTGGAGAGATAAGGTTGGGCCGGGCGTTGGTTGCGCACGCCTTTAATCTCAGCACTCGGGAGGCAGAGGCAGGCGGATCTCTGTGAGTTCGAGACCAGCCTGGTCTACAGAGCGATTTCCAGGTTGGAGTTACTGCAAGGCCTATGAACTTCTTGGTCATGGATCGGCAGAAAAGGCAGTGTCATTCATTTAGACGGCCCTGTTCAGAGGCAGGGGCTGAGCTGAGCACACAAGGACTCCAGAACTGTTGGAGGGTGAGGGCTGGAGAGATGGCTCATCTTGATGGTTCTCTGCTCTTGCAGCGGACTTGAGTTCTGTTCTCAGCACACGTGTCAGAGGCGCACAATTCCTTGTAATTCCACCTCTAGGAGGTCCAACACCTTTTCTGGCCTCCGTGGGCACTGCATGCATGTACACACACCCGCGCGCACTCGCACACACACTTTTTTTTTCAAAGTCCTATTTTATTTTAAAGGAATGTTTAGGGGATCAGCATTAAATGAATAGTTGGGGGTGTGTTTTGGAAATTACACTGTAACGATGGTAGGGGATATTTCCTGTTTCCTTTGGTTGTTTGGTCTGGGAATCTGGCAGTGTGGAGATCTCTGTGCTTTCAAAGAAACATTAGCATGGGGCACTGAGATGGCTCAGCAGAAAAAGGCCAAAATTAGCTTGGTAACTTGAGTGTGATTCTGGGAAGCCATGTTATGGGTGGGAGGAGGGAACCGACTCCACAAAGTTTGTCCTCTGGCATCCACATGTACATTGTGGCATGTATCCCATCATATATAGACAAATGAAATTTAAAAATAGAAAATAGGGGCTGGAGAGATGGCTTAGTGTTTAAGAGCACTTGTTGCTTTTTGCAGAGGACTGGGGTTTAATTCCCAGCATCCACAGGGTGGCTCACAACCATCCATAACTGCAGTTCCAGTGATCTGACCTTGGAGATCACAAGGCATGAGTTGCACATAATATGTTCAGCCCAGACACTCACACACACAGGGAATGAAATCAATAAACTAAAAATCAAAAGAAAAAGGAAAAAGAGAAAATAGGAGAGAAGCCGTGTGTGTGTGTGTGTGTGTGTGTGTGTGTGTGTGTGTGTGTGTGTTTTGCTGGGCATATAATCCAGAGACTCTTAAATGTTAGGCTCTTTAAGAGCTCCACCACTGAACCACACCCCAGCCCCTCACTGGGGGATTCTAGGCAGGGGCTCTACCACTGAGCCACACCCCAGGCCCTCACTGGGGGATTCTAGGCAGGGGCTCTACCACTGAGCCACACCCCAGCCCCTCACTGGGGGATTCTAGGCAGGGGCTCTACCACTGAGCCACACCCCAGGCCCTCACTGGGGGATTCTAGGCAGGGGCTCTACCACTGAGCCACATGCTTAGCTCATTTGTTTTTTAATTTATCTAAAGGGCTAAAAATGATATCACCAGGGCTTCTTCAGACAACTTGGATCAGGAGCAGAGCTTCTGGCTAGTTCAGGTGATCCTTCCAGTTTTGAGGAGAAGAAACCAGATAAAGGTTTATGTGCTGACAGGCTCTAGGGACTGGACACAAAGGACATTGCCTATCATGTGGCTAACCCAGAGACAAGGAGCCAACAGGGCATCATATCAGCTACGCCCTCAGCCAAGATGGAGTGTGTGTGTGTGTGTGTGTGTGTGTGTGTGTGTGTGTGTGACACTTTTTGTTTTTTTGATACAATCTATCTGTGTAGCCCTGGCTGTTCTGGAATTCAGTACATAGACTAGTCTGACCTTGTACTCACAGAGATCCACCTGCTTCTGCCTCCCAAGTCCTGGGTTTAAAGGCCTGAGTCACCAACACCTGGCAATGTGTGTAATTCTTTTTAAAAGATAGCTTTGCTATGTAAACCCCAAATTGGCCACCAATTCTCCATCCTCCTATCTCTGCCTTCTGAGCATTGAGCTTATAGTCCAGCACCACCACACCTGGCTGGAACCATGTTCTTGATAAGGAGGCTTTGAAACACTTCAGAGTGTCTTTCTGTGAGACCCAATATGGCCTGCCTGCCAAGTGTGGGCAAGGGCTTGTTACGCTGCAAGGCGGGCTCTTCATTTCTGCCACATTCCCAGGAAATGCTTGACTCGGCACCAGGTAGTGTCTCAGGCAAAGTACTGGCTGAGCAAACATGAAGACCTGAGTTTGTATCTCTCTCACCCATGTAAACGCCAGGTATGGTGGCAGACATCTGTAACCCTAGTGTTGGGAGGATCTGTAGCCCTAGTGCTGCGTGTAGGGTAGTGAAGCATAGACAAGGGATCCTAGGAGCTTGACAGCCAGTTAGTAAGCTCCAGTGTCAGTGAGAGACCCTGACTCTGATTGGGATGGAGACGCTCAAACAGAGCAAAGACACTTCATGTTGGTCTTTGTCTCTCACACACATAGTATGCGTGCACACTACACACCACACATACTACATATCACATTTGTTACACACCACACACACACTACAGCCACACACCCACCCACACAGTACACACACCACACACACACCACACTACACATTACATACCACAGACCACATACATTACTTACTACACACTACACACCACACACACTCTACACACACACATACACACTACACACACCACACTCATTATACACACACTACAGACCACATACATTACATATCACACTCCCATTACACACACCACACGCATGCAGAGGTTCAAGTCCACCATTTTGAGACAAAGGAAGAAGGGAGAGAGAAAAAAACAAAACAAACAAACCGGGGCTAGCTAGAGAGCAGGCTCTGCAGGGGAAGAGTGCTTGTCTTTCGTGCCCTGTGATGGAGCTGGAGCTCCTGTAAAGGGGAAGGATCGCCCTCTGACCTCCACACGCGTGCACCCCCACAATCTTGCACACACACACACAATTTTAACAAGCAGCCCACAAGGCCCCCAGGCAGGGAGGAAGTTCTCTTGGCTCCATCTTCCTCCCCACTTGACCTACAGGAGGCTATGCAGTCTCTCGCTCAGAGGCAGACATGGACATGATGATGGGGCAGGGTTCCTTGATGCCATCTCTTCTCAGTGGGGTCTCAGGAGGAATATGAACCCCAGTGGGTCCTCCCAGGAAAGGACCCCAGTCCTCTTCCCTCCTCCCTAACCTTCCCCTGATGGTCGCAGTCATAGAGACCCAGTCTCACTCAGCCTGTTATCCGGGCACCTAGTGTATTTATTACAGTCCAATTTTTTTTTTCCCGCACTGCGGAGAAAGAGGGAAGGGGAAACTGAGAGAGGGTGGGAACCCGGATCAGACCCCAGACTCCTCCCTCCCACCAGAGCCCAGGGCATCTGCCCTATTGGGCCAAGGAAGACTTCGAGATCCCTGAGGGCCCCAGCAGGGGGAGGGCTGGGTGCCACAGAAGAGGGCTAGAGGGGACCACTGCTTCCCCATCATGCTCCAGGTTGAGGGCTTTGGCTGAAACCTACCACTCCTGTTCTGAAAGCCTTGACCAACCCTGACCTATTGAAGCCTGGTAGCAAGGCCTCCCTTGGGCAGGCTCCGAAGTGCACTGCATGCTATCCTATGCTTGTGACCAGGAGCTATTATTGGCTCATGGGTCATGGGTCATTCTTTGGCCCATAACTCAGATAGCAGTCAGTCTCTCTCTCCCAGTAGCCCTTGACCTGCCTTGTCATCTGACTGCATTGTTTGGGCCCACGCTAAACAAAATTCCTTGGCTTTCTACCCGTGTTCTTTTTTGTCTTCTGACCTGAATCCCCAGCCTCTTTCTCACTTCTGAGACAGGGTCTCTGGTACCCCAGGCTGGATTCAAACTCACTATGTAGCCTAAAATGACCTTGAACTCCTGGTCCTCCTGCCTCTACCTCCAGAGTGCTGGGATTACAGGCATGCACCAGCATGCTTGGTTTTATGCTTTGTTTGGGGTGGAACCCAGGACTTCATGCATGCTAGGCAAGCACTCTACCAACTGAGCCTCATCCCCCAGCCCCTGAATTCCCCCGTCTTTGACAGCAGGGTTAGATACAGATGCAGAATATGCCACCTTTTGTGCTGCTGCCGAAGGCCTGGATGGTGTGGCCTTGGCCTACAGCTTGGTATGAGGGCAAGGGAGAGAGACGGGGCCCAGTGTGAACACCTCATCCTGCCTGGCAATACACCAAGAGTTAGGTGGGCCTTCCTTCCCTCTTAGATCTGGCTCACTTCGCTGTCTACAGATCCACTCTGTGGGAGATAAAGAGGAGCGGAAGGTCCCAGGCTTGGCACTTTCCAAGCTGTGCAGGGGTCCACTGAGCTGAGGTGAGGTGACAGCCAACAGAGGACTTTTGTGTCATGCCCAGGCAATGGGCCCCAGGTTGGTAAGCTGGCCTCAAGCAGAAGAGGGGCATGGTGATCTAATCCTTGTGTTCGAAAAGGCTCTTTGTTCCCTGGACATGGTGGGTGGGCAGACCGTGGGATGGGCACACTTTAGGGACAAGACAATTTGATTCCTTCCTGTGGGTGTGACACCCACCAGAGAAGAAGC